GTATTGAAAGATCTTCTTTAGGGAATAAAGAAGATGAAATGATCTTAAACACATTTTCACACAATTTGTTCTTTTTTTCTTTTTTACGTGTATTAGAATGTAGTGTTCGTTAATGAAAGAAAATATCTGAAAACAGATAACTCATGTATAACATGGTTTTTAGGTTCAATTTTATGTTATACAAATCTGTGATTAATACAGAATAAGGTGTTTGAGTTCTGAAAAAATAATATATTCTATATTATGTTTTTTATTATTAAAAGAAATATATTGTTAGATCGAATACCTTTGTGTCAAATAAAATATTTCTGAAGAAGTTGACGAGGGTCCTGGATAGTTCAATAGATAGAACAGTTGACTGGAAAATGGAAGACCTCGGGTCCGATTTTCGGTTCAATTCAGCTATTCAATTCTTTTCAGGAATACTATAGTATCTATTCAATTAATTTATCTTATTTAACTTATCACAGTTAATGTGTGACTGACAGATGTTATGTTAAATTTTGATGTTTATGTTGAAACATAAAATGTTAACACTGTAATTAAAGGATTAAATTTTTCTTTATTATTTGCGCAAGATGTTAAAAAATTTATTATTTCTAATTATTTTGTAATAAATAATTTTCTCTTTCTTGTATATATTTAAAAATTAAGAAATATGAGAAAACAATTTGAAAACAGATAGAAAAAAATTATTAAAAAAAATTCCCCCATGAAGGATCGAACACTAACTAGCAGCACGAGAAGCGAGAACGTTATTACTTACGCTAGCACGTTACTTGGTAAACAGTTGCATTTAAGATAATATAAACATGTCTACAATAAATTCAAAATTTTGAAAGCATTTTTCTCAAAATTGGCTTCGCATTTTGATAAAATACTTTGCCACATTAACACCCTAAAAGTATACTACAAATATACCAATGCTTGTTAAAATCCGTGAGAGCACTACTGTAAGGTCTCCTTGTGAGTATTAATAAAGGATTAAATTTTTGTGTTGGGTTTTTCGTTGTGTCAGGGTTACGTTTAATTCAAATTATTATTACGCGAGATTAAAATACACGACAAACTAATTCATATTTAAAATTTATAGTAGAGAAACAAAATCCTTATGATTATTTGTGATCATATTCATGATTTATTTTTTACATTCTCTTCCACATTTTTCGATGTTTTCTTTAATCTTTAAACCGTGCCAAAGAAAAAATAAATTATACGGTATAGTATTCTACGAAAATTTGTTACAATTTTAAAATTGTATTATACTACTGTCGTATTATATTGTAATAGTACTACTTGTAATTATTTTATTTTATATTTGATCTTTTCGTGAGGATGTAAGCTCAAAGAAAGTAAATGCACCGCTAATGTAGAATTCGTCCGCGAATAAGTTATTTGTACTTTCGTGGAAGGATGCAATTTTGCAATTTGACGACGCAATTTGGTAATATATATATAGGTATACATAAATATACATATATATGTATGTATATATATGTATGTAAATATGTATGGATCACACGTATACGTGAACACGAGGCATCATTTGCGTACGAGTAAAAGGATCTGACACGGAACAGATATAGTTGTGTTATGCAGATGTTATATATATGTGTATATATATATATATATATATATATATGCATATAAAAAAGAACATGCGTGTGTCGGCCCGTTTAAACGCAAAACCGATGCGGACGTAGCTCGAGGGCATTCACTGGAAGCTTCCCCGAACGTCAAATTACGAAATACCTGTTCTTCCCAACGACGACTTCATTCCCTTCGTTTCGTTGTTGCCCTCTTCGTATTGTTCGAGCTTTCAACTTATTTTTTTTGTTTCTTTTCGTACACCCCTCTCCCATTCCCCCGTCCCTTCTTTCATTCTTTTATCTTTTAATTTTATTTTTTAGTTTTCTCTTTTACCTGGTTTTAAGATTTCGTTCGATTCGCATTGTCCTGTTCGAATTTCTTTTCTCCCTTTTTTCTTTTTTTTTTTTTATGCGAGGAACGTTAAGATATATCTCTATTTTATTTCTTTTTTTTTGGATAATAAATTATTCAGTATAAGAGAAGAGATAATTGTTGTTCGATTATTTTTGTTTTTTATAGAGAAAATGTTATATTATATTTAATTATCAATATTCTTGTCCCAACAGTATATTAATATATATGAGTTTCAAAGGGAAATTAAAGACATTTAATAAATTTGATGAATAATTTATTATGACCTTGTATGACAAATAAAAAATTTATTAAATGTCTTTAATTTCCCTTTGTAACTCATATATGTTATATTATATTGTTTTTATGTTCAATTAACTAGTTAAGTGTGTTTGACGAYTATATCCGTCATGGAAGAATGGCAGAATTTTGTGTTTTGACGGCTATATCCGTCATGCGTAAAATTTTGATACAATTTGATATTTAAATTGTAATTCTGGYGAAAACTAAATTATATTCGTAAATATTAATATGTTTAGAATGTTTAGGGGTCAGGACGAAATGAAATAAACAAATGAAAATTATAGATAATTTGAGTTGGACACTAAATCTTTGATTATCCCGATTTTTATCTTGACGTGTCATAACCAAAAAAACAAAGTATATTAGATTCTCCATCTGCGATGATGTCCGCGATGTCAAACCAAGGAAAAAAAAAAAATTTTGTTTGTTTGTTTGTTTGTTAAATATTTGATTTTTTTTTAAGTTTTTCGTTAATTATGTGTAAATATAGCTTTACGTTGATCCATTGTTTAAATATTACTTATAAATTCATTCATTTTCTAAAATAAAGTCGTCTTTTTGACCGAATATTTCAACAGCGCCACTTACTTTGTGTTTGACGACTATATCCGTCATCGCTTAATTATCGCGACACACACTAGGGCGCACTTTGCAAAATGATCGCCACAGTTAACTGGTTAAAAGTCACTTTTGACTCAAAATAAATGTGTACTTTTGTATATTATAATGTAAAAATTATATTGTTTAAAATTGTGTGTGAATAAATAATTCAGGAATAGTTTAAAAGCAATAAAAACTATTAATATAGTAGGTGTTTGAAAGCAATAACAAGATACATACTTTTACCATACCTGACTTTTCCTATTAAAAATTTGTTTAACGAGCAATTATACTGGCAATCAGATTAGTATAAATATTAATTAGTTACTTCTGACTGAACATAAATGATGTTCATATCATATCAATCATATAAAAATATTTTACACATGCTTATCAATTTGTCCCGTAGTGATATAAATTCATTCATTTATTATTTCGTTAAATAAATATTTTCTTAATTATTTTGTTTATATTTTTTTAATATAAATCAAAATATATCAGAGCATATTTTAAATAAAATAATTGATTACGAGAAAAATTGTAAAAATTAAAATCCGAAAAACGTATAATTTTTAGAATTAAATTTAGATCTTATGAACCCATGTTTCAATACTTATTATATTTATTTATAGAATATGTTGGTAGAATTTTGCTGATAAATTAACTGGGACACCCTTTACATGTCTTAAGAAGAAGAAAAAAACATCACGTTTGATCAATAAAATATACTACAAACTTATAAACGTTCTTTGATGATTCACGTATGTTTTAATCGACGTGAATGATTGAGGACTGTTGGAAACATAAAAGAAATTAATTTTTTATGTTTTTGCTACCATAAAAATGTTATTTTATTGATATCATTTTTTCTAACCTATCAAAATTGATTTTCGAATTATCTATCAGCGTGTGTTTCGATATAAATATCTTTACCTAGTTTTTATTAAGATAGTAATTGAATTTTCTAGGCCGGCTAGGTGAGAAACACACAAAACCGTGTCAAATCGATCAATGACGCGATTTTTCAATCGATAGAAACGACACGAGACGTTAAAACTTTGATTGTCCTTTAAATGCGATGATATAAAAACACGTTTAGTTAGAATCAAAATAGAATATTGTGTCGAAGGTAATCGATTAGTACCGGAACCGATTTCTCACCTTCTCCGTCTCGTTTATTTTTCTTTTTTTCCTTTTTTTTTTTATTCTTTTCTATCCTTGGGATATTATCCGATACGGTTTATTAAAGTTCATTTACCTTTCTTCGATTGATTTAAAAAAGAATATGTATATATATAATTGTATATTATCAAACGAAGAGATTTAATCAATTCCTATCGATCGGAATGCTAAATATTTCTATAACAGTGAACGCGTAAAAAATTGTCTTACTTGCTAATTTAACACGTTAAGCGTAATGACTGATGATACAAAATTGAACAAATTATATTTGCGTGTATTTATAAAATAAAATAGTTTGATGATTATTTAATATTTGATCACTTTCACGTCCAACATTTGTCCGATATATTTGTTTGTGACACTAAAAACGGTACCACACGGACGGTATATAATATTACCCCATATTTAATATATTTAATATATTTAAAATATATTAGGTTGACCTATAGGTTGATTAAGTTCATATGGATGTTTTCTAAGTAAATCAACGGTAGAAAACGTATGGACTTATTGGGGTCAACCTAATATATTAAATATTAATTTACTGATATACATATATTTAAAAAAATTATTATATATATTAATATATTATATATAAAATATATATATAATATATTAATATAATCTATCACACACATAATTATAATATTATAATGCTATAATATATATGATATAATATTATTATATATTATAGTAATATTATAACATTAATATATTACATTATTCATTATAATATTATATTATATTATAATGTTTAATATATAAATATACTAAATATAAGGTGACGAGTTATAGAAATGTAGGTTAAAAAGTAGGCTAAGTATTTAACGTGTTAAATTTTGTTTACAAACGAAATCACTGGAATAAAAATCACCGTTGCGCGCTGTAAAATATTACAATACACTTATACGTAAAAATACTTTCTAATCTTGTTAAAAAATGTTTATTTTGTTTGTTTTTTTTTTTTATTTTATTCAAATGTAATCCGAGGGAACAGTACTTTCATTTATGGCCGCTAATCTGTATTGCGGCGTTTCCAAATTTTGTGGATTTAGGTGAAGATTCGTCTGAGTAGTTGGTGCCGAGGATGACACGTTTGATGGCATTTGTTGATTAGCTGAATTTGAACTCAAATCACTATAATATGCGCTACTTGGCGCACTACTCAACGTTGGTCCATCAGGTTCTGCATCACTTCCGGTATACGCCGTATTTTGATAAGACGGACGTTCGCCATTTCTATTGGCCACTCTTAAATCTTGATGATGGTGATGATGATTGTTGTGATGGTGATGATGATGATGGTGGTGTTGCAATTGATTTGGCGTTGGTGGCTCGTTCTCATACATCTCGTAATCGGGTTCTTGTAACCTGACAAGTATTTGTATTGAATAACATTCGTTAGAAATAATTTCAAATCAAAATAAAAATGAAATAATATTTAAAGGAATATAATAACTAATATTTAATAATAATATATTAGTAATTATTAATTAATGTTATAATTAATATTTAATAAATTAATATTTAAAGGAAAAATAATGTTTTTATATGATTTCATGCTTAAGGGAATTTATTTATCAATATTGTTATTCTACAAGACAATAAATAAATCACTTTTTAAGTATAAAATGTAACATAAAAATTATGAATTTTTAAAGTGTTTAAATATTAAAGTAACTTCAAAATTAAGTATATTGTTTCATTCATAATTTATATTATTAGGTTTCTGCACATAAAATGGCCGTTTTTCATATATCAAATTTGACTTATGCAAACTATGCTGTATGTATACAATTTGAAAACTATATAACAACTAATTAATCAATATTGCATTCTCTCTTGTTAAAATTTAAAAAAATGACGGGAATTTAATTGCTAACCTAATACATAACCTCACTTATATCAGATAATATTTGTTATTTTTATTCAGTTTCTATTTAAAATGAAAAATAGAGAAATTCAAGTGATTTTTATGAATGAACCTCTATCATTGATGACGATTTTTTGAATGACTTGATTGAAACAAATTCGAAATTTACGGTTCGAGAAATGGTAGAAAGATTCATTGTGCATAATTCAACTAATACTTGACATTTAAGTGACATGGAAAAAATGCAAAATTTGTACAAATGGGTTTCCTATGAATTGAACGAGAAGGACAAGTTGAGACGTTTAGAAATCGAGAATTCTTTACTTTTCTGACACAAATTTGACAGAATCTTACATAGAATAGTGATGTGCGATGAAAAGTGGATTCTCTTTGACAATCGTCGACGTTTTGGGCAGCTGTTCAATATAGATGAATAATCCAAACATATGCCATAGTCAAATCTTCATCAAAAGAAGATTATGGTTTCTTTATGGTGGTCAAGTAAGAGGATTTTGCATTATTCGTTCAATAAACTAAGTGAGGTTAAATATATTAGAAATTTGACATTATGCACGAAAATTAAGCACTCAGAAGCTCGTATTGGTAAATAAACATGTAGCGTTGTTAATTCATGATAATCACATACCACGACGAAACAAAAATAACTGAGTTGAATGTTGAAATTTTCCCAAATCGTCTGACCTTTTACCAACGGATTATTATCTTTTTAAGCACACACCTGGATGGATTTTTACTCGGGAAAATTTTTCATCGACAAAAAGCTTGTGAATAAGATTAAAAAACTAGCCATTTAATTTGCTGCACAACCTAATATTTATTAAATATTTTTAATTATGAGAATAATATTTTAGTTTGTCAATAAGTCAATGTGATTTTTGTAGTTTATTTATTTAAAACAAATCGCTAAATTAACTAAACACACTTTCATGTTATGTTACATATGTTTTGTTTCTATTCCGAACAATATTGTAATGTAAAAAAATAAAAAAGTAGTCGTGTTAAAATATTAATTTTATTTTTCATTATAAATTAATCGTCGTGTTATAAGTGAAGAGTTTTTTACAATATTTTAATACTGAAATATGAATCAACTCATTAATATGTTTCTTATTATGTGTACTTTTTTTTGTACTTAATTAACTTTATTTTAATGAGCTACTTAATTAACTCATTTCTATCTGACTTTTGGGCTCATTAACTTCATTTCAAGAGATGTTTTAATCATTCATAAATAAAGTACGAGAATACTGTTGTTGGTATTACTGTTACATGCTTTATAATCTTTACAGAATTTTTTAAGCGTGCGTTAATTACAGTAAACTTAGCGTTATGGATTAGCAGTTATTTAATGCAGTTTTTTTTTCAATTGCATAGATTTAAAATTGTTTATTGGCTCGTTAAATATTTATCATTGTCGTGAAAAAATAGTAGGTTTAAAAAGAAAATTAATTGGAATTCTACAAAGTATTGATTATGAAACAAATTATACAATATACATTGACAAGTGTTTATTTCGTATAACAATTAATTATCCAAAAACACGCAGGTATAGAAAATTATTTATTGTTACAGATAAATAATAAAATTTGTTTGAAAAAGACATCGAGAATAAATTTCTACACTAATATAGTGGAAATAATTTAATTTAATTATTAAGAAATGATAGATGAAGAATATAAAGAATGAAATATTATAATTCTCTCCTATATTTTCAGTATAAAATAATCTTATATATTTTTGCATTGTTTCAAGTATTGATCGAGTATTTTAATGGGAAAAATAAAATAAAAGATAAAAATGTAAAAAAGAGATTAATTATCTCTTAACACAAATCAAAGTTTATTTTAATGAAATAAGAATAAAACAAACGAATGAAAAATGATTTACCTTTTGCTGTGTCGTGTTCTAAGGGTTTCCCTTTGCAAAGATTCATCTCCGTTACTAGTGCCGTAATGGCGATGCAATCTTGCAGCATCCAGTTCGTGATATTCGTCGTCTTGACCAGCTGAAGTCGTGCCGTATGCCGAACTTCCTCTCATTTGCAACTGAAAATCGCTCGCATAACTCGCAGCTTGAGAATCAAGTTCGGCATAAAGTGCCTCGTCCGTTTGCATGTGGGTGTAATGATTCTCAACTGGTAAATTCATGGCTCTCCTATGTTGAGGAAGGGATAAGGGTGTAGTAACGACACCCGTTGTACCACCCCCTCGTCTTGAACCAAGCCATGACCAGACGTTGTGTCCTAAATTACAAAAAAAAAGGAATAATAAATGTTACAGTTGAGAAAACTGGAAATGTTAGTAACATTGGACAGAGGATTGGATGGGGATGGCAATTAAATATCTTCAAATATAAGGCTTCTTCGAATTATGAGGGCTGAACCACTTTAAAAGTGAACAGGGGACACAAAAACAATGAAACAAATTTATAATTCGTTTGTGTTCATAGTTAAAAATTATTAACTACACTTTTGATTCAGAATGATTTATATTAATTACATTTGTATAAACTTTTCTAAACAATTTATTTATTCATTTATTACTCGTTAAGAAGCATCAATAGTAGTTTAATAAAAAGCATACTTTAGAAATATATTTTTGTAGTATATTTTGACATATATAAAATCTAGACACATATAACATTTAGAGTTGGTCCCAAGCTCAGATAAAAGGAGAGGGTAGAGGGTTCGGGGATGAGGCTAGCAACCTACCCTCGGTAAAAAACAATAAATAGCTTCTAGAAATAATAATAATAAAAAGAAAAGCTATTATAACAGGACAAAGTCTTAATAAAATGAGAAAGAAGAAGAAGAAGATTTTGACATATCATTTTCCATCATATTGCTAAACATTGCTTAAAACAAAGATTTATGAAATAATTCGGTCTCGAATACAATAAGAATTATGATGCTTGCCAATTCATATTATCGTTCGGTTTATTTACAAATTTCAGACCAATATATGTCACGATTTATTATTATTAGAAAAAACAAATGATTGATTTGTTTAAGGAATCAAAACGATAGGATTACTCACCAGGACTAGGAGCAACGTCGTGATAAGGGGGTAACTTATCAAGTTCTAATGGAGCTCGATCTGGTATAACGGCTACTCCACCGCCATTCCCACCCCCTCCACCATTCGAGCCAGCTTCCTGAGTGTTAGGGTCTTCAACACCAACGCCGCAACAACTCGCTGAAACAAGAACCTTAAGGTTAACACAGCGATCTCTTTCTCATTTTGTTCGTTGTTCCGGAAAATTCGTTTGTGCTTATATATAGACCTGTGAGTTGAAATTCTTCTCAAATTTCATTCTCTTTTCGAAGATTCGCTGCGTTAAGTTGGTTGAGGAAAAAGAGAGAAAGAGAGTGAGAGAAGGGGGGAGGGAGGGAAAGTTTTAAAGATTTTTTCTCGTGGATAGAAACGTATAAGCAGAACGAAACACGTCAAGTGCCAGGTGAGCTTGCTAGGAATCCTGATACGTTATACTCATTCATGCGAGGGTTTATGCAAGCCACCTATATTATATATATATATATGTATAGGGTGTTCTCACAAAACAATTTAATATTTATACAGTACTAGTAGATCCGGCCACGTGTTGCTGTAGCTAAGGTATACGTTAATTCATATTATAGTAAACAATTCAATACAATGAAATGATTATTTACGAATAAAGACGGAAACGTTATATAGCCGGTATAAAAATATAGAATTTTAGATTTTATTAATCTTACATTAAAGTTACGAAAAATGTACGTGTTTGTCAATGTAAATGTAAAATAATGTATTGTTGGTTTGCGTATTTTGATTATTATTATGAGTAAAGTCATATGAAAATTACATATAAGAATCAAGTACTATAATTATTAGATCTGGTTAATAATAAATCATTTCATCCCTATAAAATACCTTACCTAAAAATATTTACCACTCGAAGTATTAAAAAGTGACTTATTACTAGCTTTTCGATTTATAAAAAGTTTTTTTTTATATGTTCTTTTTTTTACAGTGTTGCAAATTTTCTCAAAAATTTCATATTTTTCTTGGACAATGAAATAAACAGGGTGGATTCAGTTTCGTAATTTTAATTGTAAGTAATTTATTATATATTGGTGAAAAATATTCTTTGTTTTTCAAATATATATCCCCGTAAAAAGAAATCCAAGGGGTTGAAATTGGGGAATCAGAACTGTTTCATCACGTTCAATTTACTTTTTACTGAATATAATATTTAAATACTCCAAAAAGTCAGTAAATTGACTTTACGATTTATGTTTATTAATTGTAAAACTTTCTTACTCAGTATAGTATATTCTATATACTGTATAAATATTTAATGATTTTTATTGAACACCTTGTATATATATACATGATATGATACCGAATTCTTCAAATTCTATAACAAATAGGTGTAAGAAAACAAAAATTATTGATTTATTCAGAAAAAATTTAATATAACTTTGAAAAATTATAAAACAAAAAAAACAATTGATCATTTATTAAAATTACGTAAAAAGTTCAATTTAAACTACCCTATACTTAATAAACATTTTTCTAATGAGACTGTTAATAACAGTAATCTCTACTGATCACAATTCGTGAATCACCCAGTATATATGTAGTTGTACTCTCTATGGATACCTATATTATACGTATGAGACGTCTATAGTTCATATATATATATAAATATGTATGTATATGTACATATATAAAAACGTTCCCGAATCCGAGCATTATGACATAAGCAAAAGTATGAAAAAAAAGGCGGCTGTTTTCTGTACGTTCGTATTGTGGTCCTGTCATCGTGCCGTCATGGGGCCTCATAGAACCATACTGGAGATCGGAGTGCAGAATGATGTGGAGGTTGTTCGAAGTATACTAAGAGAGATGGGTAAGAGAAGATTGAGAGAGAGTGAGTGAGATAGAAAGAGAAAGAAGAAACTCCGTCCTGGAATTCATAGATCAGAAGTGCCGCCTTATGGTAAAGTAGACACAAGAGTATGATGCCGTGTCAATGGGAAAAAAGAATGAATGAAATTATAGAATCTTCGTGGAGTTGTTCGCTTTTTTATTCTTTCGTTTCGTTTTGTTTTTTTTTCTTTTAAAATCCGCTTATGGATAATATAGTGAGTCATAAAAGAATATTCGTACCTGATACCTGATTGTAAATTTGAAATTATTGATATTTCCTTGTAACGTATATATTCAATATTTCTATATGTAGAAATTTATTGTTGGATTATTTAAATTTTTAAATTTATATCAATAAA